TACACGGACACCATGTTCCCGTTGGATCAACGGCAGGAGAATGGGCTGGTTCCTGTCCATTTTAAGCCCTGCTCGGGACTTGGACAGCCACAAACACTTGCTCTCCTTTTCCTTCTCCAGCTCCTTCCATCCCCGCAGCTCGGTGACAAGAGCCTGACTGGGAACACGTCCAGGCCTGGGAGACCCTACCTGATGTCCAGCCATTTCCTGACCCCCTGAGAGGTTTCTCTTGGAGAAAATCCCCCAGGCCGGCACATCCCTGCCACGTTTCCATGCCAAGGGGATGGCTGGCTGGGCACATCCCAATCCCTGCCCACCTTTCCCAGCACTGGGACCCCAGGGGCTCACCCCTTACCGGTCTCCTTTCGCCCTGCGCTTCTGAAGGCTCTTGCTCTTGGGCCTCCTCTCGCTGCCGATGCAGAAGACACCGCCGGGGCCGGTCACCCGGATGGACTCGAGGCCTTTGGACGACTTCTTGAAGGTGAATTCGACAGCTTCGCCCTCCTTGAGGCTGCGGAAACCCTCCATGTGGAGCTTGCTCTGCAGGAGGAGAGACACGGAGGGGTCAGCGCTGATCCCTCCCCAAATCCCAGCACGTGCCAAGGACCCAGTTCTGCAGAGGGACTTTCTCGCGGGCACCATCCCAGGACACGATGGACACAAACGTCCTCCGTGTCCCCCCTCGATGGCAGCTTCGCGCTCCCTTGCGGAGAGGCAGGAGCTGCGGCTGGGAAGCCAAACTCCCTGTTCCAGCAATTCCGGGGGATTTGGACATAAAGGGAAGGCAAAGCGTGGAGTAGGAACTGGGACCCTGCGGGAGGATCTGCCCAGTTACAGGAGCAGAGATGCTTGGGCAAAACCCTTGGACGCAGCAGCACCCAGAGCTGCTGCTGCTGCTCCCTGCAGCTCCAGCCCTTTGAACGCTCCCAAATTTAGCAGCCGTTCGGCCCTGGATCATCCTTTCCCTCCCGGCATCGCTGCGTTGCTCAGCGTCCAAACCGAACTTGGGAGTTGGGATAGAGCGGGCGGAGGGAGGCGGAGGAGCAGCTCCCCCGGCCGGGCCG